TCACACACCCTCCCCCTCTCCCACATTCTCCCCTCTCCCACACTCACATATATGCAGCTACCCAGAACTGCTGGAAGAGTTACACAGTGTGTCAAGGCCTGGCTGTGAGGTGCTAAACCTGACCGGTGTTGATAACTGGTAAAACATCATTATACACATCAATACAGAAACATATAAGGATCTTACTCGTGTCAGCATTCAAAAATCCAAGAGTTGTTAGTGAGCAATCTCAGGTCATACACACGCGTCTCACCAACATAACTGACACTCTCATGATAATTACAAGTCAATTAGTTACTTCTATTGCTTGATATTATATCCAGGGGGCCTGAGCGTGTCCTCGGACCCCAGAGACCAGATGAAGCAGGGAAGTACCGGGATATGAGGCGACACAGGCGGATGTGAGGAGACATATGAGAGGATAGACAGATCTGAGGGGGAAAGGAAGAAAGATGTGATGCAAGAAGGCATGTGATGGGGAGAGAGATGCATGGAAGAGGCCAAAGGATGAGAAGAGCAGACAGATGCGAGGGCAGAGAATGAGAGGTGGTAAGTAAGAGAGATATGAGAGGGAGAGAAACGACAGAGGGAGAGCAGTGAAAAGGAGTAAGATTTGAGGCAAAGAGCCTGCCAAAGAGCAATGAGAAGTAGAAGATAAAGATAGATATGAGAGGTGAGAGGGAAACTTATTGAAATACGTTTATTGAGATATATGTACACACAAAGGGATGGGGTAGCTGAAGCTATTAGGCTGAGAGGTGAAAAGGGTCACAGAGAGAGGAAAAGGATCAGATATGAGAGTAGAAGCATTAAAAGGTTACAGAGTCGAGAGGAAGAGGCGAAAGAGAGAAGGAAAAAAGTAAGAGCTAAAGCAGTAAGAGATAAAGAGTAATAAGTAGCCAAGAAAGGGAAGGTAAACTTGAGTGCTACTTAGTGGAATGGACGTTAAAACGTTGATAGTTTCTGCAAGTGGAGTGTGCTTTCTCTCTTCCTTTTATTCATAATCAAAATATAAATATTGTTTATTATCCGAGTTGTGATAGATGAGTGATCATTAGTGGCACGCGTCGAGGCGCCCAGAGCACTTGGAGACGATAAAGAAGACAAGGATAAGAGAGAGAATACTTCGCCTATGACCCAAGAGCAGGTGACACTACTTTTTCTAGCTGAAACAAACTTATTTTTATTAGTTTCACAAAGAGCCTCGTAGCAAGACGGTCGAGAGTCAACGTATTATGCGTTCCGCAGCCGGAGAGCTGATCATCTAACACACACACACACACACACACACACACACACACACACACACACACACACACACACACACACACACACACACGACGACGAGACCATCCACAAAAACACCAACATTAACGGCACAGAGAAACTTTAAGGAACTTAAATCCAAAAAACAAATATATAAACAGCAAGGATGAAGTGTTGGGAAGTCTGACTAACTGCTTCCGATCCTCCAAGATGATGTTCTTCGGTGTGATGAAGGAGGTGACCTTAATTGGCCTCCTTCTCTCTCTCCTTCCCTCCTGATAGTTCCCTCTCTCCTTCCTTCCCTCCTGTGGACACCTCCCTCACTCTTGCCAGGTAACAGGGCAAGAGAAGCCTCATCTTCCCAGTTTGTTACAGACTGTGAAGGCCTTCTCACTGGAACCAGACCTGGCCGCCGGAACCTGCCGTTCCAGCTGGAACCTGACCTACAGGGTTGAGAGTTCTCGCCAACACAGAGATCTCACACTCCACAATCTCCCCTCACACCTCACACGCCTCTCCTCATACCCCTACAGTCCTCCCTCACACCTCACACGTCTCTCCTCATACCCCTACAGTCCTCCCTCACACCTCACACCGTCCACCTGGTGCGTCACACCGCTGTTAGTCCGGACGCGCTGCATTAGTTCCAATCCATCACATGTGCGCCTTTCACTGCCCCGAGTGACCCAACACAGTACACGCCGCCCAGCCCTCGCCACTCTCGGTAATCAACAGCCATAAACAAATAGTGTTGGTGCCAATTTCCATGTAAATCTCTCACTCTCGCGGCGGGAGTCGCGCCCTCAGTCCTGCTTTGCTGGCTCCTCCTCCAATCATTACCCGCCAAACACACACCGAAACTACGACGTTGGTACAACGTTCGAACAAGTTTTAACACCTCCTAACCAGTTATAACAACCAATATAACACGTTGTAACAACGTTCTAATACGTCATAAACACGTTAAGCCAAGATGTAACAACGTTATTACAACTTGTAACAAGCGGAAAATAGAGACAGTTTCGGTTTGTGTTTCCAGGGTATTGTTCTCGCTGGCGACCGTGGCGTCACTGCTGGCTGGCGACCGTGGCGTCACTGCTGGCTGGCTCCCCCCCCCCCCTCCCTTCTCCCGATAGAAGGGGGACGGGAACTATCGGGAGAAAGTGCTGATTGATTGATTAATGAAGATTAAGCCACCCAAGAGATGGCACGGGTATGAATAACCCGCTAGTGAAAGCGCCAAGCCATTATGACCATTTATCACTTGGAAGGGATGACTTAGATAGAGATTTGAGAACACGAGGGGGGAAGGGATTGGTGCCCAATCACTTGGACGGTCGGGGATTGAACGCCCACCTGCATAAAGCGAGACCGTCGCTCTACCGTCCAGCCCAAGTGATTGGAGAGCTTACACACTAGTATTGTTATTAAAGAAAATATGACATGAAGGGGCAACCCGTTTTTGCACTTTCGTATAGTCAATATTGACTTATTAATTAAATACGTGCGTATGTGACATACTAATTTATTGTGAATATTTTAGTATACCTTGAAAAGCTTCATAGAAAACACCGACCTTACCTAACCTTCTTAGTATATTATGATAAGCATCTTATTGCTTCGTAATTACAATTATTACTTAACCTATTATAGGTATAGGTTAAGTAATAATTGTAATTATATAGGTTATATACCTATTATAGGTATAGGTTAAGTAATAATTGTAATTACGAAGCAATAAGATGCTTATCTTAACATACTAAGAAGGTTAGGTAAGGTCGGTGTTTTCTATGAAGCTTTTCAAGGTAAACTAAAATATTCACAATAAATTAGTATGTCACATATGCACGTATTTAATAAGTCAATATTGACTATACGAGAGTGCGAGAACGGGTTGGAAGGGGACACTCGTCTAGAAAATTGTAAAACAATAATATTCCACTTTCCCTGTATCATGTTTTACCATTCTGCCTTTCTCGAGGGTGCGAGGGCGTGTCGAGAGTTAAGAAATAATGTGCATGTTGTCGGAAGGGAAAGTTCTGGAAAGTGGAGACATCTATCAATCATCTGCCTGTCTAAAGCTGCATTGCTTGATATTCGATTTACTTCCAGTAATATGCCTGTGTTTTTGCGCGAATGTGTGATTGCTGGAATATGTCAACTCTTCTATTTGTATTCCCTTAGTTGTGTTTGCAGGATTGAGCTTCAGTTCATGGACCCCGCTTTCCCTTGCAGGCAAGTGTTTAATGCAAGCACTCCCAACCTATTTCAATGTAACATCTACTGTTATTATTATGAGTGAAGTTGGATTCGACAACATTTAGTTTAGTTCTCCCATTTATACAGTTTTCTTACGCTAAAGTATCAAAAATAAGATCCGTGTCTCTAAACTGTTTCTTCCACCCAAGTGTGTTTGTGTGTGATTGTTTGTATTTATTGACTGTTTATACCTGCAGGGTCGAGCTCTTAGCTCTTGATCCCCGAAGAGCTTTGTGAGCTTACATACGTGCTCTTGCCTACTTGTGCTGGCTTTGGGTGAGGGACTTCTCAAAGACTCTTGATATCATGATGGAGGTGGCTTGGTGCGCTGCCTCCCGGGGGCCTAACATGCCTTTATATGAAGTCTATGTAACCTTTACTGGACCCTCCATGTATGGAATTACCGTGCATTTCCTCCTCTATGTATGGAGGAGGAAATTTATGGTAATAGTACTCTTAAGTAACCGTTATTCTACCACTACCAAAGCTAAATCGTAGGGATTAGCAACCTTGCTTTTGAAGAAAGTAAATATGCTTCATTTAGTTTTTAAACAGGCGAAAGTAAGGGGTGACATGATTGCAATATACATATGTATGAGAAGGTATTTGTAAAATGGCAAAAATAATCCCACAAATTAGAAACTTTCCACATGAAAAGAGATTGAAAAAAGCTTTAATTTACATTCTCAAGAAAGCCGAAGAGTTAGGGGTGATTAGACTGAAGTTCAGAAGGCCACAACAAAGGGAATATTAATAAGATATTCAATATATCAATACATAAACGAACACGAAGTAATATATATAAATTAGACATGTTTAGATTCAGGAAAACCCTGGGTAAATACTGGTTTGGTTACAGGGTTGTTTATTTGTGGAACAGATTACCGGGTAACATAATAGACGTGGGATAGCTTGATTGTTTTAAGCGTAGGTTAGACGCTTGAATAAATATTGGTGAATGCAAATAATAGCGAATTCGTATGAGCTCCTAGGCCTTCTGCAGTTGCATTAATTCTTATGTTATTATGTACAAACAAGACTAAAAGAAGAAAATATACAAATTACGAACATTTCGTGCAAATACGTACAAGACGCCCATCTTTCTTGTCGGAAAACATAATGTTCACATTTGAGGTCATGGGAAACATTTCGTCAAGCCTCCAAGCAAATCCCTCTGTCAGAGAAGCAGTAAACTTTTCTCAGGAAGGTAAAATAGTCCTTCAGATACATCAGACAGGTTCATACGTGGTTCAGACAGGTTCATACGTGGTTCAGACAGGTTCATACGTGGTTCAGACAGGTTCATACGGGGTCAGACAGGTTCATACGTGGTTCAGACAGGTACATCCGTGGTTCAGACAGGTACATCCGGGCATCAGATATATATATTCATAAGACAATTAATGTAAAACAATTAAATCCGTTAATCGCATTCCAAGTCAGACAATCAAATTGCGTGTTCGCGTATATCGACGATGCGTATAGATCGTATGCGTATAGAAGCAATGGCTTCTAGACAAGCGAGATTTATCCCCTCAAATTCTGTATTCAGATACGGAAATCAATTCTCATATTAGCTATAGAGAGGCAAGGGGTAGTTCGCCTCCATGAGTGACAGACACCCCATGAGTGACAGACGCCCCACGAATGACAGACACGAGTGAAAGCTGATCAATACCACTTAAGACTCCGTTCCTCTGTTTTTATATCTTTTGTCAATTTCTCCACAAATATGATTATTACGGAGACGAATAAAGGAACGACGAAGCAATATTTCAACGGGGCGTGGGGCTGCCGTCCATAGTGGATGGCAGACAGGAGGGCGTAGATGAGATACGATGAGTTAGAAAGGTGTCCCACGGTCGAGACTGTGTATATATATACAAGATTGTGGGGAAAGAGAAGGACAGTTTCACACAGACAGTCAACCCATATCAACATGAAGGTGGTGAGTTAGAAATGACCTCGCAACCTATTGGTTTTGGCCTCTGGTATCTGTCCTCATCTGTCATTCTCCGCTCTGAATAATATATTTCTCACTGGTGTAAATCATGAAATATTAAACAACAATTAGAATAGTCTTGGTGTGCTGTAATGAAGTGTTTTCCTTCCCTTGATCTCATTAATATCCAACTGTTATAGGAATATTTCGTTTCAATATTTATATTCAAAATTATGAAAGTATGATGTTTTAATTTATATTTTTTTTTAATATATATTGTTGCAAGGAAGCCGCTCACGTTATATTTGTTAATTTAAGTGATAACCAACACCGTTCATTGACATTTGGTCGTGTGTGTAGTCCGAGTATGTGTGGGCTGTGTGTGTGTATATGTGTTTACTAGTTGTGTGTTTACTAGTTGTGTGTTTGCGGGGGTTGAGCTTTGCTCTTTCGGCCCGCCTCTCAACTGTCAATCAACTGTTTACTAACTACTTTTTTTTTTTTTTTTTTTTTCCCACACCACACACACACACCCCAGGAAGCAGCCCGTGACAGCTGACTAACTCCCAGGTACCTATTTACTGCTAGGTAACAGGGGCACTTAGGGTGAAAGAAACTTTGCCCATTTGTTTCTGCCTCGTGCGGGAATCGAACCCGCGCCACAGAATTACGAGTCCTGCGCGCTATCCACCAGGCTACGAGGCGAGGAATGTGGGGGTGTGAGTATGTGTGTGGGTGTATTTGTATATGTGGGCTGTGTGTGTGTGTACATGTAGGATGTGTGTGTGTGTATGTGGACTGTGTGTGTGTGTGTATGTTGTTGTTTCAGATTTAGCTACTCGGAACCAAGTGTCCGTGTAGCACGGGCTATGGTGAGCCCGTGTGTGTGTGTGTATACGAGAGCGTTGTATATATGTGAAGGTGTGCGTGGGGTGGGTGTGTATATATGTGAAGGTGTGCGTGGGGTGGGTGTGTATGTATGTGAAGGTGTGCGTGGGGTGGGTGTGCATGCGTGTGTTCACCGATTTGAACTCTCCTATTTGTTCCTGCAAGATGAAGCCTCAGCTGTGCAATTTCGCCTTTCCAACCGCCGATTGTATCTAATGTGATGACTCTTAACTTACTTTTCTATCCTAGTTACTTTTGAAACTGAATCCTTCGCTTGGATAACTCGTCCATTTGTTTAGCTTTAGACGAGTGAAAAATACCAATAAACTAAAGCTTTATAACGTCACTGTGACTCGAGCATACATCCTTGCCCGCTTGTTCTATTGGTGTTCATTGTGAACATGTCATGAACATTTCTTCACTGTCAATCCTTCCAAGTATGTTATGTCTCCATTTCTCTCATCTTTTCTAGCAACGTTATAGCTGGCTTGGTCAGTCTTGCTTCATATCTCCATATGAAGCAAGTCAGTCTTCTTAGTCTTGCTTCGTATCTCCATCCCTCTCAGTTCTCAGACGAACTGTCTTGCTAACCTCTACCATTTCCTTGTTTCCTTTCATTTACCCATGTCTGCCTTTCAAGTTTGTCGAGCAGTCTTGTGTGTGCAGGACTGTGTCCAGAAATATACAGTCTGCCCATCCTTGCCTGGCCTAGGCTTGTGAGGCACGAGTTCCCTTTCCTAAAGCCAAGTTGATGCTTATATACATATCTAATCCTCTCCAGATGTTTAACTAAGAGTATCATTATTCTTTCGAGTAGTTTGCAGAGGATACGTGTCAGTGATTCTGATCTTTAGTTAAGTGCCTCCTCCTTATCCTCTTTCGTGTGTATTGGTACCATATTTACCATCGCCCAGGTGGGAAGAAGTCAAGAATTAGAGGTATATTATGGGCCTTTGAAGCTTGTGCTCAAGATCCATGGAGATACAGTGCCTGGTGTAATAACTTTAGGTCATCTCGTGACTAGTAAGATCTCTACTTCGTCTGCTGTTAATTCATGGTGCGTTAACACAAGAGGGTGGTAGGAGAACTGTTGTGTAAACGTGGGAACCTAACAAGGCCTCCCCAGGTGCCGAATATTCTCTTCGCCAAAGCTCCTCGCTTTGGCGAAAAGAATATTATATTATTCCCCCACATAGCCAGAGGTTGGTTCTCATAATCATACATATCATATATATTTTTTTCCTCGTGGGGGGAAGCTGAGAATGATTTGTTTATATAGATACGATAATAACGTTCTCTACTTTCCTCATATAACAGACGGCGCTGATGATGATGGGGGCGGTGATGGTGGGTCTGGCGGCGGCTCAGGAGTCAGCCCCATCGGCCACGCCCCAACTCAGGGTCTCCACGCAGGAGCAACCTGTGGTGGGGATCCTGCGCAACCTCCAACACAGCCCTGACGCCGACGGTACTCACAGCTCAGACTTCGAGGCCGAGAATGGCATCAAGTTCCAGTTCTCCGGGTCGCAGGGGGCGGAGGGCGGCGCCAACATGGTAGGGGTCTACAGGTCAGTATTTCCCGCGCTTCTCTCGCTTCCCGCGCTTCTTCTTCTTCAGTATTTCCCGCGCTTCTTGTTGCTTGGCGCCACTTTCCTCATATGCCAAGTATTCCGGCGTATGATTCGTCAAATATTTATTGTAACTGATCAAGTGGTTTCGTAAGGGAAAAACATGAGAAGATGTTGATGTAAATACAATATATATATATTCAGTTGATCGTGGACCAACTGTCCTATCATCCGGAAAATACGGTAGTTCCCCCGGACACGGCGCCTCCGTGTGATAATTACTGACTTTGGGGTCATCAAATGTTTGCTAAATTTATTCAGGTCTTAATTTGATTGCTGTCTTAATGATCGTTGACCGCCTCGCAGTTACCCGCTGGAAGATGGCTCCATCGCCGAGGTCACCTTCGTGGCTGACGAGAACGGCTACCAGCCCCAGTCCGACCTGCTGCCCGTGGCCCCGGCCTTCCCCCACCCCATCCCCCAGTTCGTCCTCGACCAGATCGCCTTCGCCGAGGCCGAGAGGGAACGCCTGGCCCGCGAGGGCGTACGAAATGATTAAGGGGCATGAAGGGTAATGTTGATTAGCAGCAGCTGGACCCCCAGCTCGAGGGGGAGGTGTACAAGGGTCCCTACAGCGTCCCGGGTCTACGACGACGCTCTACTCAACACTTGTTTTGATTAAAACTGTATTTATGACTTGTGTGCTATGAGAGTGTGAAGGTTCTAACACATGAGTTTGTAATAAATATCATGACGTACGTACTCTTAGTGTTCTTGTACACTATACCTACTTGTACACTATACCTACTTGTACACTATACTAGAATCAACCTACCCTGGCTTTGCGCCCTGGTGAGGCCACTCCAGACCGACAACCAGAGCGCAACTCCATAGTCTCCTGAGACTGATGGATGCCTACTACTACACTATACCTGTCCTCTATCCCACCTTCCCCGCGGGGACCGGCTAGTGGACGCAGGTGTGGGGTTAGCCTCGGACAAAGAACAGAAGAGATCAATGTAGAAGACAGTCCCACCCTGGGTGCTGGAGAAGTCCGTCTCCTGACCTCTACCATAACATCTCACATTCCCGCGAGTTCCTTTTCGCCGAGAAAAGGAAAGAATATGTAATTACAGACCTAATACTCTCCGAGACCACTAAAACAAAATGTTTGTATCCACAAGGTACGACGCCCTGAGAGATGTGACACCCACTTACACCCCCAGAGACTTCCAACATTGCATAAGATGGTGTTCCCTTTAAATATTCTTAAAGAGTCTGACTTAGGAATTTTCCACGAGAATGAATGTTTGTTCGAGGTTGGAGGAGAGACGTTTGAGGCTACACTCACCAAACTTTGCAGGGTGACTGGTCTATGTCTGGGGATGGTGAGGAGAGACAGAGAGCTAGATCTCAAGAGTGAAATAAAGAATAGGCGGAAGGTCATTTAATAGACACAAGTTACCCGGGAAATTAATAGCAGAAAAAGATTACTGTTTACATTAATACAGAAAACGAGTCATGGATGTAAATAATAAATTAAATCATTTGTAAGGAAACATTACCTCTGGGAGTTGCGAGGAAACAGAAGGGATAGACAGAGAGATAGTGGACGCTAGATCCAGTCTTTGAAGTCGACAGGATAGTAAATAAAAGAGGATGGAAGTCATCCATACCTCAGTAATCCCTTGACACGGCTGACTGTAGCCTCAGCCAGCAGCCATTGACAGCTCTCAGCGTTGCTATCCCCGATACACTGATAATGAGATAGATTATTAAAACTGTAAATATATGAACAGTTGGACAGGACTTACCTCTCCGGTTCGCCCGCAAATCAGCTTTTCCTCCCTGTAGACGTGAGAGGTCGCCGTCGGCCAGAGGTCCAACCTTTCACTCAAAGCAGAACTTAACTACTGAAGTCTACCTCCTGAGAGGCCTTGACGTCATCATCGTCGCGCGGCTGTCCACCAACCAGTCCTCAGGCGGGTCATTCCATGAGTGGTGGACCCTAAAGACACAATCATCAATTCATCAATGTTAACACGTTGTTTATTCAGAACATGAAATTCTCAAATATAAATTCAATTTTATTTAGGGAAAGTACTTACATACACAATGAGTTACAAGCAAAATGTTGCATTTCTAAGTAAAGTATACACTATGCCTAAAGCCACTAGTACGCACAGCGTTTCGGGCAAATTAACATTTTGTGTATATTTAAACGTAGGTTAGCTTAGGTGTTTAGGTTCTGTTGACAATTATTTTGTATTTGAAGTACGTGTTGGGATTCGAAAAAAATCGTCGGCGAAGTTCTGTTTGAGAAATGTTCGAGTGTCATCAGCCGCCCGTCCTAAACAACACAGGCCAAATGCTCCTTAATACACCCGCCAAACCCGCTGTTTATGAATGAAAAACGTTTACACACGACTCACAACTGATGACGTCCGAACACTTCCGGAACAAGTGCTTCGCTGACAACTTTTGTTCGAACCACAACGCTGTAAATGCTTCACCCACGTGGTAATTCCTGTTAGCCCCATCATCCAGACAAAGTGACCCAAAAGTGATTCCATGCACCCGCCAAACCCGCTGTTTATTAATGAAAACAGTTTACATACGACTCGCAACTGATTTCATTCGAACACTTCCGGAACAAGTGCTTCACTGATGAATTTTGTTCGAACCACAACGCTATAAATGCTTCACCCACGCACTACAAATACAAATAATCGCCAACAGAACCTAAACACCTAACCTAACCTAACCTATGCCTATATATACACAATATGCTAATATATTATAATATTAATTTATACTTGAGAAAATTCCTGTTTTGAATGAACAGCATGTTAAAATTTATGAATGCGTCTGTGGGGTTGACCGCTGGATGGAATGGACTTGAGTCGAGGACGGGTTGCTTCATCCACGTGATAATTCCTGTTGATGCTTATTGATTCCTGCTGATCCATGATGTTTGTTGATGCTTGATGACACTTGTGAGAAAAATTTAAGCTGTAAAGACAAAAGAGTCAAGGAATGTCAGGAACCACTCGCTCCCTGCACGAGTGAAATGCTCTGAGAAGAAAGTCGTAGAAACCACCTCCGCCCACATCTTGCGGCCCCAAAAACAATGAACATCCTAAACATCAATACATAAAAAAAAATCAAATACAACAAGACTGGAAAAACCTGATCTTACTTCCCGAAGCCACATTAGGCAAGCACAGTCAGATATTTGCTTGACATCGCAAGCATTGATCAGGTCAGATGTCCAACGTTAGCTTATTGTATCTTGACAGGGGCGTCCAGCGGCTCCCCGCCGACGTGGATGACAGCGGCGGCTCCCTCGTCAGCGTTCTTTGCCTGTCGCCTCACGGCGCTCCTGCCACAATGCCCTGAACATTCTTGCTGGCAGCACTACCTGCCCCTGGCCCGCCCCGCCCCTAGTGTTCCACACCACCATGCTCCTCTCGCAGATGCAATTGCTGATATGCTAATTCCTCCCCCACTTTAAATATCTTTAGGACGCAGATAGCACAAGGCAACACAGAGTTTCTTTAACCAGTTTAGCAGGGCTCGTGTGCACTCCTCCCAGACGACACGGGGGACGTTATCCTGCTCTCTTGTGACACAGGAGACGATATTCTGCCTCCTTGTGACACAGGAGACGTTATCCTGCTCTCTTGTGACACGGGAGACGTTATCCTGCCCCCATGTGACACGGGAGACGTTATCCTGCTCTCTTGTGACACGGGAGACGTTATCCTGCCCCCATGTGACACGGGAGACGTTATCCTACTCTCTTGTGACACGGGAGACATTATCCTGCTCTCTTGTGACACGGGAGACGTTATACTGCTCTCTTGTGACACGGGAGACGTTATCCTACCCCCATGTGACACGGGAGACGTTATCCTACCCCCATGTGACACGGGAGACGTTATCCTACCCCCATGTGACACGGGAGACGTTATCCTGCTCTCTTGTGACACGGGAGACATTATCCTGCTCTCTTGTGACACGGGAGACATTATCCTGCTCTCTTGTGACACGGGAGACGTTATCCTGCTCTCTTGTGACACGGGAGACGTTATCCTGCCCCCATGTGACACGGGAGACGTTATCCTGTCCTCTTGTGACACAGGTGACGATATCCTGCCCTCTTGCGACACGGTAGACATTATCCTGCCCCCTTTTACAACACGGGAGACATTATCCCGCCCTCTTGCGACACGTCCCTCACTATACCCAATCCCAACAGCCTGTCTCCTACCTTCCGACATCGTGGCAGCGGCCTGACGGCAAGCACAATAAGCCGTGGTGCCGTAACTTATGATGGCGGACGTAAACAGCGACAGGGATACGTCTGGCGAGGGGCAGGTCTGGGCCAGCAGTCATGTAACCCTCCTGAATGACATTGGGAGTTTGTAAGAGCAGCGCACCTCCGCCCCGCTGTCAAGATAATCCAATTGTTAAGCTTGGGTGCGCCCCGCGATGCTCCCAGCACTGACGTGGGGCCCATTTACGTAGATATTTTTGAAGTAATAAATGCCCCTCTGTGAATCATATTAACGAGGCACACGAGGCTCTCTAGTAATCACGTTTTCGTGTAGGAGTTTAGGGAGTGCAGGTGGACAGGTGCGAGAGTCAGGCTTATACCTGATACACGGCTCTGGCTGGTGAGGGAGTGAGCCTGCTACCTGGTACACGGCCCTAACAGGGCACTACATCACTCACGCAGACTCATATGCCTTATGGAGCACATTCGACATTGTGGAGACTCGCTGAGGTGGAAAATGCTGCTGTGTAGAGCCCCTGGAGGGATGCTGAGAGAGAGAGAGAGAGAGAGAGAGAGAGAGAGAGAGAGAGAGAGAGAGAGAGAGAGAGAGAGAGAGAGAGAGAGAGAGAGAGAGAGAGAGAGAGAGAGAGAGAGAGAGAGAGAGAGAGAGAGAGAGAGAGAGAGAGAGAGAGAGAGAGAGAGAGAATACAATTTGATGAATGCATGTTGTGGTGAGTGTGAATGGTCTCAAGGAATATATTCCAATATGTGCTTGTGACATGCATGTTTGAGGCAAAAATGTGAGAGGATGATTAGTATTGAAAGGAACACTGAACACGTCTACGTCGCTGAGTCTGTTCCTAAAGCAGTAGCTGTGTTGTTCACGTGGGCATCCATCCAGTCACTAGCCATACTTGTCAATCATACACAAGCCAAACCCGTCACTCACCCACTCACATGGCATGATACATGTGTACCTCGTCCAGGAGTCACCCACACGACCTACACTCTCAAGAGTCCACATAGTCGAGGAAGGTCGACTGGCAGCATCCCGAACTACGGAGCTCAGCCGAGATGCTCTGTTCAACTGCAATGTGACTGGGTAACTTGTTTTTTAACTTGCAATCTCTTCCATACACGATTCAACTGGTTGCAAAGCATTGCAGCCTATAGTGATCACCAGCGCGGCTTTCGGTGAACTGCCAGACCAAAACACCTTGCCTGGTGAAGATTATTTCCACCTCAATGACAGCAAGAAGGTTGCAGGTTCTTAACTCTCA